AAGTCTCCGTCTTAGCGCATAAAAGGGCACCGCGCGGGCGGAAAACACTCACACAGCACACCCCTCGCACTAACCCTGCTACTGGCGGACGTCCCCTTCCTCCCCGAAATGGAGGTAGTCCTCAAGGGCACATGTGACCTCCGCAACTCGGTGCAGCGCCGACTTCTTGTACTTGTCCCTGACGGCGTGTAGGTTGTTCCCCTCGGCCCTGACGTGAAGGTAGTGAAGCCGCCGCACGCACGGCTCCAGCTCCCGGGCGGCGTAGCCCGTGTAGTGCTCCGTCTGCCTCGTCCAGGCCTCGCGCGGGCAGCCCCTAGGGTGCAGCGTCTGCCGAGCCAGGTACAGCGCAGCCGCGGCCTTCAGCGAGGGCAGCAGGCTGACCCCTTGGTAGTCTTGCAGGAGGAGCTCCAAGAGGTACGACACGAGGGACCGCTCGCGGGCGTTCGACTTCGCCGCCAGGCAGAAGCGGTCCTGGAAGTTGCACGGGGTGATGCACGTCAGCCGGAACTGGAGCGCGTTCACGACCACCAGCTCCATGGCGATGATCTCCGCACGGGTGTAGGTGTTGTCGGAGATGTGCGCCAGCTCTTCGGCCGTCGGGGCGTAGATCTCCTCGTACTTTGAGGCCAAGACCACGCAGGCGCACCCCAGCAGCTGCAGCTTCCCCCGGGGAACTTCGAACGCCGACAGGCTTCGGTCGATCAGGTCCACCGCCTAACGGGGTGGGGGGGGCGGGGGGGGGACGCGAAATCAGTAAGTAACAGAGCACAAGACGCGCAGACGCGTTTCAAATACGACGTCTGAGATTGTCGACAGTTTGGAGCGAGGGCATGTGTGTGTGGGGGGGGGGGGGAAACCCTAAATCCGTGAGTGCCCCCCAAAAAATAGAAAAACACCCCCCGTTTTCGGAATCTGAAAATTAAGAACATGCGCGTCGTCGTCCTCGATAGCAAGAGCTCGGGCTTTGCCTGGGTGCAAGAACTTCATGGGCAGGCTGAGAGAACGAGAGACACGGAGAATTATCTGCAGATCGCTGGCCAACAAAAATTTCCCCGCTATGACATATCGTGACGACGGCGAAACCATGCCAAGGGTATCGAAGATGATGCCATCATAAACGGATGTGAGCACGTGCAATATTCAACATTCAGGACTCGTCCATCGGACTACGCATGACTGCCGTGCACGCGCGTGCTTTTGGTGTCGTGCCCTAGCACACCTGATGAGAATCGGCGAAAGAAAACACCTGAAATTATCCACACATGGCGAGGAAAAGTCTCTGCGGCAAAAGATAATCAGAGATGTCAAGCGTTTGGCAGCTTCGTCTCTAGACTATAACATGCGAAGCGTAGCATTGGCCATACAAATGTGTTCGGGAATTGGACAACGCATGAGCGGTCAACCGTTACGTCGGTCATCACCCCCTACTGCTGTATTGGTACTTTGCCAACAAAGACTTGATTGTACCGTGATAACGGAGAGGCACCTCGTCCACGAAAAACATCCGCTGCGGACTCTCTAAACGCACATGGTTTGGTATAAAAACTTCTCTGTTTGCGAAGCTCTCCATTGCTTGGTGTTGGGAAGTGCGTCCGTTAAAATCGGGCAAGGACACGGGGATCGTTTAAACCTTAACATTGTCAAATGCTGCGATGTAGTCTTCCTTCCATAAGCTCGGATTTTTTTGTTCCTCGTCAACGTACATAACAGAATAGTCCAATGGCTATATAGATCGCATATCAAACGCCGGATCTCTCTTCATCGTATTATAGTGCTGCGACTCGTTACAGTACAGCTAACGATGCCATTCACAGAGATCAATTTGTTCAAGCAAGGCGTGATCGTCTCACAGCGGCGTGTATGGTATAATATGATATAGTACCTCTAACCGGTATGTATATAGCAATAGTCTCTCGTTGAAAATGATGTGCATATATATTTACATCTTCTAAAAGAACTTGGAACGTCGCGCGGCAGCGAAAAGGGGTGATCGGGTACATACATAGGCTTGAATACAAAAGTTTGAACTACTGACTGCTGTATCGCAAAAAAAATACGGGGGTAGTGCTCATTGTTGTAGGCACCAAGAGAAGAAGCACAACAATGCCACGAAGCGGGAACGATTTATGTAGATACAACCATCGGGGGGTTGGGTGTACTGCTGTAGGTGGAGGAAGGGCAGCGTTCTCTCGACACGCGACGGAGAGACTCCAAACAGACCTAGACTATGCATACAACCTGCTTACACGTACTGCTGTAGTTGTAGTTGGAAATTCAAATTTTTGAGAGACCAAGGAACGGGCGTAGTGCGTGAGGACAAGCATTATATAATGCACGCGTGCTTTCGAAAGCAGAAAGCGCGCGCGGGGCGGGGTACCTTGCGCTGGCAGGTGCTGCTGAAAAGGGCATGTTACCGAAGACGAGCCGTCTTATTATAGTACTATTATCTCGATATCCGACCGTTCCCGCGCCCATTTTTCAAAAAGACGAAGAACGTGCCTACACCCCAACAACGCGCTCGCCCGCTTACCTGAAACAGAGTTCTCGAAGATAGCTTGAACTGGTCGCAGACCTCGCAGATCCAATCCACGAGGACGCTTCTCATGCTCGGCCGCATGTCCTTCTGCTTCGCGCCGATGTAGGCCACCGGCCTATTCCGTTTCTCCTGCTCGCGCAGGTACAGCGCGTGCTCCTTGGCGTAGTCGGGATTCAGCAGGTGGGACTCCCCCTCCTCCGACACCCCGGCGTCGATGTCTTTTACCCCCGGCGGAAGCTGCTCCTGCTGCTGCTGCTGTGCGTGTGGTTTCCGCGCCTCGCCCACCCGCTGCTGAGCCGCCGCCGCCGGCCGTGCTGGTGGTTGGCTCGAGCAGCTGCTGTCGTCTTTACTTCTCCGCCTGCTGTCAGCACAGCCTCCGCCCTCGGCGGCATCCGCAGCAGCAGAAGCAGCAGCAGCAGCAGCAGCTGGGTCGCCGCCTACACCACCGCCCTCGCCACACGCGCTCTTACCGCCCGCTCCCTCTGCGCCGACGCATCGCCCAGCACCCGCCGTGCTGCTGCGGCGCCGGCGCTGCGGCGCCTGCGGCTCGGCCTCCCCGTCATCCGCGACTCCTTCGAAGCTAAGATCCACGACCATGCCCTCGAGATCTTCGTCGCAGGACATGCTCCCATCATCATCATCCTTGTCTCCTTCTTCTTCCCCTTCCGCCTCCTCCTGTTTGCAGCTTACCGCCGCTGCGCGCCCGCTGCCGCCGCTGGTGGTATTGGCGCCTCTCGGCACCGAGGATGATGATCGAGTCCGCCTGCCGCTGCCACTGCTGACGTTGCTGCTGCCGCTGCTGCCGCTGCTGCGAGTCTTGGTGGTAGACGCCGCCGCCTGGTGAGCGTTTACACGCCGCGAGTTTCGATTCGATCTGCGGGGGGCCATGGGCGAAGGCCGCCGCGGAGCCTGCTGGGATCGGCGGCTCGAGCTCACGGAGGAGGACTGCTGGCGGGTGGACACGCCGACGCAGCTGTGCTCCTCTCTGATGTCCTGCAGGACACGCTTCCGCTTGGAGGTGCTCGGCGCAGCAGCGGCAGCGGCAGCGTCGCTGGTGCCGCCACCGCCGCGGGATTGCGGTCGAATCCTCTGTGCCATCGTGATCTCGCTGTTGCAGGCTGCTGCTGCTGCTGCTGCTGCTGCTGCTGCCGCGGCAGGGACGACGGAAGGCGGCGGCGGCGGCGCGGTGCAACGCTGAACGCTCTTGGCATCAAGAGAGGGCGCTGCACTGGGATGGTTGGTGTGCAGTGGGTGAGGCAGGTGGGGCGTGCCCTGCAGAGCCTCCCTGGAAGGGAGAGTTGGTGGAAGGGCAGCGAACCCAACTGCTGTTCGTGTTGAATGGACTCACTTCAATTGCAGACAAGGGCAACAACCTCTCTGCAGCTCGACAAGCTTGCGCGATCCAAGGAAAGCGCGCTCAGCAGCCAAGGCCGGTAATTGCCCACTTCCTCAGAGTCCACGCGAAGCTCGTGGTGAACGTGGTGGGTCGCTTGAGCAAGCTCCGCTACCAGCGCGCGCGGCCGCAATTTGAAAATTGGTGAGCTGATGATGATGACGCCCCCCCCTCTGCCGTTACCAACGTGCCCCTCTCTCCTTGCTTTGCGCGGCGCTTGTGCGGGGGAGAGCTTCCGCTCTCGTCAATGGAAGGGAAAAACTTTGGACAGTGAGGCCTGGCACACGCTGCTGCCCTTCTGATGGAATGTCCTCACTAACTTGCTCTCTGCCCTTGCCCTGGCACGTGATGAGGTGTGCGTGCCTAAAACCTAAAGAGCTAGAAATTTGAATTTGACAAGGGGGGACGCAGCAGAGAATTCCAGGGGGGGGGGGATGATCACGTATTTGCATGCATGCATCACCACATGTGTATGTAGTATCATGTGTCTGTCTCAGACAATAACCCAGCCTGTAAGGAGATGCGCTGTTTTACTATGTGCTATTTTCCATAGGTCGAGTGTGTTTCTTCACGCTGTCGCTCGTGCATCAACGCACAGGCTGAGGGGCACACAGGCGACTGTCGGCTGCTACACATGTGCGCTTGTATGAAAAACAAGAGGCGAAAAAAGAAAAGGATTTTCTTTCGAAGTGCATGAAAAAATGTGGTATATTACAATAGCGTGTTTTGTACCCCAAAGCAGTGCGGTAATACGAAGCGTCCCACACAGACTTCTGCCTACTACGCCACGTATTAGACTTCGAGGTGGAGTAACCAGTCGTAATACTCTCTGTAATGCATGTGTCATCTTCTCACTTCACCACATGCACGTCAATTCCCCAAATGAATCATCGCGAAAAAATGGAAAAACTTGACCCCGGACGTCCCGTGATGGTCGGATGGCGCAAATATCAATCAGACAAAATACTCGAGAGACAGACTACCAACTGCCGGTGGGGGGCGGGGGCGGCACTCACGTCGACGCAGCATCCAGTTCGAGGGCAATTTTGGGTGATGAGCTGCCGGTGGCAAAATGATCGCCACGTCTCTGGATGGTAGACAATTGAACCGCAGCTGAGAGCGAGAAAAAGCGAGAGTGGCGCAAACCTCGCGAGAAAGGGCAAGAGAAACAAAATAATAGCAGATAGACTCTGAGGGTAGAAGAATCGTTTTGTCACCGGTCAGCTGGTTTGTGCCGTAAACGTTTTATGTAAAAATCCACTCTTCGCGCGCACGCGGTTGCCGTAGGGCCCATCAAGATGACATATCTCAGCCTATGGTTCACGCCTCATCCACATCATGCTCGTTGAGGTCCATGTGTTCACGTCCCGCAACAACAGCGAGAGCTTGGCCTGGAACGACAACATCAGAGTCATCTATATAGGCTCGTGGCAAGAGGGGGGGGGCGTGCACACGTACGTGGGCGTCAAAATCAAACAAGATTATTACTTGATTTCACACCACGAAATATTTACGAATGTCTCTCGCAACAATTTCACATGCGGAGGCACGACGGGTGGGTTGAAAACGCCGTGTGACGCACGCAGCCTGTTCTTCTCTGCCCACATGCACACAACAACAACACCAGTCTCGCCAAAAAGCAGCACTGTTTATGCTTTGCGGGGACTGCTTGCTAACCATCTACTCCGTGTCATAAATGTCTCGTAGTTTTCTCTAGCAACTCACACACACCGCCCTTCCAACCTCGTTCCATCGAGCTGCTCACAGTTGCTTTCGACGAAAAACAAGAGAGCTCGAACTAACCCGACCGTAGCCGAAACATTGACTCCCTAAGCCGGTCGAACGTACTACTCCTAGCACCCCACACGGCCTGGCTAACGCAGGCTTAACAAGATGCCCACCTTACGACAGCTGCAACTGCTGCTGCTGCTCGCAGCTCTAGCGTACGAGAAACAACAAGGGTAAAAAGAGAATGATGCGCCAGAAACAAGCATAGCTCAACTCAATCACGTCCGATGACAACTTTTACCACAATACTACCGGCGATTCTACACAACCGCCGCCGAAACGAAAAAAAAACAAACACCTCTTCAGCACCATCTATTTTAACCATTTGACACGAGCGTGCCGTCTTGACACGCCCAGACGGGCTACACCCGAACGTCAAAGTACATCCACAGCCTAAACCTACCGGTCCAACAACCATCCCGCCGGAGGAATCCACACTAAACCAAACCAAACCTAGCCGAAGCTGCCCCCCCCCCCCCCCTCCCCGCCTTTCCTGTCCGCGTGGAACTAAACGACCTCGACGCAGGGCAACAACAAGAAGAGAGGGAGGGACAAGAGGAAAAAGAACAGCACAGCAGGCGAAAACGTCGCACTTCATTCACAAGACCGTCCCGATGACAGTTCCGTGTCATTGTTTCACGGCAAATTTACACAAGGCTAGCCCTTCACTGCCGCCGGCATGCCAGCGTGAGGGCTACCAGAGTTGCTGCCGCCCCTGGCGGGCGGCGGCGGCGGAGGCGGGGGGGGGGTATGCTGTGTCTTCAACCGCTCGAAGCTGGCGCCCCTGCCACGCATGGTAGAGTTAGCCGCGCCGCCCCCCCCGGTCGAGGAACGATTCAACGACGACGACGACTGCTGCTGCTCGGCAGCCTGACGGGCGGCGCGCTCCTTGACCATGGTTCGGTGACGCCGTTTGACTAGGTCGCAGACAAGGAAGTCGAAGAAGCGGAAGAAGCAGAGCTTGAACTGCTTGCTGTTCTCGCTCGGGCGCCTCCTGATAGAGTAGCGCGCGCTCCTAAAGGGCGGGTGGGCGAGAGACAGAGACAAGCGAGAGAAAATTGAAAAATGTAAACAGGTCGACCTCAAGTGCAACATCCACAAGGTAAGCAAAAGGATGGAATACCGGATGAGTCCACCTCCACTTGAGCCACAACCCATCCATGAAACACTAGGCAATGATAGCTGCTGCGGTCACACACACACGCACACTAAAACCGAATCTCACTCACCCTCTCTTGGCCGCGTCGTAGAGCGCCATGCTCCCCAGCCCGTGGTAGCTGTAGCTGCGGACGATCTTCACCCCGGGTGTCAACGCCTGCTGCAACTCCTGCGGCGACTTGGACTTGTGCTCCCCACCGGCCGGCGGCAGCGTCGGCGAAGCCGTCGCCGGACGAGGCGCGGCGAGCGGCCGCTTCGGATCGCCGCCGCCGCCGCCGCCGCCGCCATCACCGCCGACCCTGGAAACCCGGTGCGGGACCACCGACTGCATCACGGGCCGCGGCTTCTGCTGCGGCATGGGCTCCGGAATGACGAGACCGGCCTCTCCTCGCCGCCACCCTAGCCCCGGCCCCGCCATGTTGCCGTTCTTCTCCTCCGCCGGCGGTACCGACCCCGATGAGCCCACGCCTGCGACAGCTTCCCTGGTACGCTCGACAGCGGCGGTGGTGGCCCACAGGGGCGGGGGCGGTTCGCTGCCCGCCCCTCCCGTCGGGCCTGCGGGAGAGGGCACCTCCTGGTCGACCTCTACCATGGGCTCGAGGCTGTTCCCCGCCGACGACATGAGCATGTTCTTCTTGCACCTTTCGGCGGCAAGCGGAGGAGTTTTCCGCCGGGGTGGCGGCGGCGGCGGCGGTTTCTCCGAAGACGAGAACAACTTCCGCCCGACCTTGGCGTCGGTCCCCACCGGTTCTCCAGGGTCCGCCGATTCATCTTCCAACGACGCTGCTACCGGGTCGCCCCCGTCCTTCCTCAACGGGGGTCGGCCGCCGCCCGCCCGCTCTCCTCGGCTGCTCGCGCCGCCGCTCCCCGCCACGCTCTCGCCCGGAGACGCCTCGTCCCCGAGGGTACCGTCCTCCCAGTGGGAGAAACGACGGGTGGCGTTGCGGGCGTCGATGGTCTCGAACTTCTCTCTCCAGAACCCCGCCGGGGAGATGGGCTCTGCGTCCGATTCCGCGGACTTAGCCGGGGAGGTCGAGTCCCCGTCCCCGCCGCCGCCGGCGGACATGTCGCGGGAGAGGGTCCTCGCGCCGGGGGCCCAGATGCGCAACCCCTCGCCTCTCGCTCCTCCGGCCCTGCCGCCGCCGCCGTCTACGCTCTTCCCCGCGCCGCGGAGCTCCGGCGCCGACGTCAGGTACTCCTCGCTGCTGGCGTCCGTGGAGCTCTCGGTCGCCAAAGACGGTGCCGTCGCCGGCACCCCTTCCGGACCACCGGCCGAGAGAAACCAGTTATCCTTGTCCTCTTTCGACGCCCAGTCGGTGCTGCCGACGCTGCGGTGTACCGGCAGCGAACCCGGGCGGGATCGAGCGGCGGCGGGCGTCTTGGTGGCGTCGAGGCTCTTGGAGGTGAGGTCGGCGAGACGCTTCGACGGGGCGACGGAGGTCTGGTGATCTACGGCCGCCCTGGCGAGCTCGCTGCCTCAATCGGATGGATTCGGCCGAGATTTCGGTTTCGAAGCGGAAAAAGAAATAACACGCGGTGTTCGTGTTTCAGGACGTTGTAAACGGTTCAACTATGGCTTGAACACAGAGTGGGTTGACGGAGTACGGTGATCAGCGGACAGTGCGTGGGACGACGCCCTCGACATACACAAGTCGTGGCCCATCCCGCTATTGGGTGGCCAGAAAGATGTGCCAGGCCAAACCGCTCACCCTAGCGGGCATCCCTATTCAAAGAACAAAACATTTTGACTCCTATTTCTACCTATGGCAATATATTTCACCCCCCCTTTCGAGGAACCACTACCGCTTGGCACCAAGGCAAGCTAGAAAGACGAAAACACTTCATTCTTGGACAAGGTCCAACTATTCAAGTCACACAAGTATTTCGCAATGACAGGCAGGGTCTGTCCGCACACCACTCCAGCCAAGCAAATAAGCAACCTATTAGATGAAAATATGTTTCTACTATAAAATAGTGCAAACAACTCACGTGGCGCGCGCGATCAAAGTTTCCAGCTCCGACGCTTTGTCGAAATCCTCACGCCTGATGATGCTGCACCAAAAAATAAAAAACGGGGGCGAAACGCGAAAACGCACGGCGGGAGGCAAAGGAAAGGATGGGAGGGGACCAATCAGCAAAGACGGGATATTGTACCGGGTGGTACTCTACTGGAGAAGGAACTCTAACAACAGTATAACCACTACGCATCGCTCCAACCCGGAGAATCAATGCAATGCATTGAAGCCAAGCACTACAAGAAAGAGCAACAACGGCGCTGGGAGACGGTAAGTGAATATCAACACGCGAATGCCGTTAGCAGCAGAGCCGATTGCTGAAAAAGCCGCTCACACACGAGTCGATCGGTCGACAATACCGAGAAAAGCACACCGGGGGGGAAAGAGAGAATAAAGACAGAGGGGATTGGATTGGCTCACCATGCGATGTCGTAGAGCGTAAGGCCCGCCTTCACCCCTTCCTGCAGCAAGGTCTCCGCGATGCGCAGGTTGCGCAAGCACGGCTCCTGCAGGTTGAGGGTGTTGCCCAACCTCTCCGCCGTAGCCTCGGGCTCGAAGGACATAATGTAATCGTACAGCTCCGGGTCGACCGGCTATATGTGGGGACGCAACGGCGCGGGGCGGGGAAATAGCATCATGAACGTTTTTCCTCTCGATGCTTGTTCCTTGTACCGATCAAGTGAGCACGCTTTCGGTGAATGGACTCTCGTAGTAATTCGAAGTAGAAAAAATAACAGAAATCCCTCCCCTTGTCATACCAACCAAGCACCATGTCCATGAGAAGAAGCCAAGCCAGCAGCTTCTCGTGACGAGACGAACGGAGCTACATCGGGGGGGGATGCTCGACACAACGGCACACACGCAAATCAACCAACCCGTGCACCCCCCGCGGCGGTCTCACCTCCTTGATCTGCCTCCAGTCCAGCCAGCACCAGTCGCACCAGTCGATCACGAGCTCGTTCGAGAGACACAGCCCGTGGTCGATAGGGATCAGCTCGTACTCGGTGGAGCCGGCCAAGACCCCGCCGCTAGGCCGGCGGCTGCCGGCCCTCCTGCCGCCGCCCTCCCCACCCCCACCCACCCCGGTTGCCAAGCCTCCGCTCTGCGTACCCCCGCGGCTAGCTCCCGCCACCGACACACCGCGGGGCGAAGCCTCGGTGTTGCTATCGCTGCTACCGTATCGGCTGTGGGACCCATCGCCGCCGCCGCCGCCACGTATACGCTCGGAGAAGCTGCAGCTGCGGCGGGGCCGGCTGCGCACGAGGATATTGACGCTGTTGCGATCGCGGTTCAAGATGCGCATGTCCAGCAGGGCTATCTTTTGCACCTCCCGACGGGTCAGCCGCGAGGGGGAGATATCTTCCACCACCTGGGTGGCAAAAGGGACGCACGCGCGTGTGGGTCACATCTCGATGAGCGCCTTGCTTGTTGCATCGTGGACCACCACACCCTTAATTTGGAGACGATCCAGCATTCTTATCCATCCCTGACAAGGGCGTCACCGACTTAAGGGTGCTCACTTTGATGCTATGGCAGATGCATTTTCATAGACTTGTTGTATTTCTCATGTTGCATCTCATTCCTTTCCTCTCTTCTGCGGGACAAGCGGGGGGTAGTTTACATGTCCATGCTGTGTTGGTCGCACAACCCTGCTACTGGTTTTGGTCTTGCAAGTTTTTTTCTGCACACGCATAGCGTTGTTGCTGCTGGTGTTGCTATTTATTCCTATGTATGTACGGCAAGAGAACCACGCGAGGTTCTCGCAAGCGGGTGCCACCCTGCCGTGGCATGCACATAAGACTCGAAAAACCGAAAAACCAACGCAACATGACCTCCAGCACCATCCGCGAACAACACTGAGATCTAGTTGAACATTAGCCCTTGGCTCACTCACCATATCATGGCGGACAAACTCCTGGAAGCTCCCGAGCTTCTTACGCTCCTTATGGTCCCAGTAACAGAACGCCGGGTGCTTCGCCTCTACAAGGGTTGTCGGAGGGACCCCATGAAGGTTTCGATCGTCCTGTTAACAAATAAAAGAAACAGGGGGGGGGGGGGGACGAACCGGGGGACCGGGAACAATCTTGCCTGTCATTTTCATACACCAAGCAGATCTTGCTGAGAATGGCGGTGTTCCAATGATCAGTGGACTAGCGCAGTCTTGCTTACACGGAAGATGGCGAATGCGACGCACCCACACAATACGCTGAGACATGCATACCTGTGGCTCAACTAACCCCCACCCCCATCCAGCTCTTACAGCAGTGTCTCCGGTCCGAATACGGCAAGGGTTCAGGGACATCTCTTTCGAGGCTCACCAGTATGTACGCCGCAACCTCCCTCACGTATGACTCTCCCGCGCCTATGCCGGGCCGCATCGACACCGTTCCACCGCCCAAGCCGCCCTGCATCGCTTCCCTGTGGTACGCCGTTGCAGCAGACCGATACCGCAGACCGTTGCAGCAAACCGTTACAGCAGCAGCAGCAGCAGCAGCAGCAGCAGCAGCAGCATAATTCAATGAGAAACTTACGAGAGACAAGAGCGGTGTCTACCTCCCGAAATCGTGCGTAACGTCAATTTTGTCCGTAATTCCGCCGCTCTACAGAAGCCGTAGCAGCACACCCGCGGTCTCCAGAGAGATACGGCTGTGCACCCGCAGCAGCAGCGCATTCCGACCTCAACACGCACCCTCTGCACGAGAACAAAACGCCTTCCACCACCATCAGCGCTAGGCGAGGTACACACCCGAACAGCGAAGACAACCGGGGACAGTGTGATTGAACCTCGTACAGCTACTCTACACCAAAATAACCAAAAGTTCCTCTCCAGCTTTGCCTAGGATTGTCAAAAAAAGAAGCACATACACACAACACACCTCGGGTTGTTGGGGGCGAAAGGTTCCTCGTCCTGAGGCTTGAACACCGCCACTTTCTGCCGCGCCGCGTCCTGCAGGAAGTATGTTCCGCCGGTGCCCTCCAGCGTAAGCTCTGGCTTGAACCCGCGATCGAGGCCTCGCTTCACCTGAAAACACGCAACAAGAAAGGAACAGCAGCAGTACGGCGCGGCGGGAGACCTCGGCCGATAAGGCAAACTTAAACTTACACTGAACGGTTTAGACTGGCAAACGAACGGAAAAACACACACACATAACACACACACGAAAGAGTGACGTCTTATCACTACACGAAAGACTGGCGTCTTGTCAGTCTGGCGTCTTATCATTACACACGTAAGACTGACGTCTTGTCGCAAGACTGACGTCTTATCGTGAGACTGGCGTTCTTATCATTACAGACTGACGTCTTATCGTAAGGCTGATGTCTTATCGTAAGACTGACGTCTTGTCATCATTGCACACAAGACTGACGTCTTCTCAGTGTTCAGCCGGTCAGCGCGGTTGATGCTACTGCAAAGACACACGCACCTGCCCGAGCACTCTGGAGAGCGACCGCGGGAGCTCCCCGGCGCCGAGGAACGGCTCCAGGCTGTAAGGCTTTCCCATCTCATCCTGCGGAGATGAAGCTAAGTACACCGTCTGCCCGTCTTTATAGATCCCGCAATCTTGGAGGGTGTGTGGGTTGCGGAGCTCTCCGCCCCGGAAAAAGATGCGCTGTCGTTATTGTGATTCGTCGTGAAAAAAAAAAAAAATAGAGCCAAGACAAAAAAAAGGTGATGTTTTTGACAATGCGGTCGCGTGCGAAAAATTGGATTGGCAACAATCGGGGAACAAGAAGGGGTGACGCTGTATCAAAGAGGCGTTCATGGTAGGTGCGTGTGTGTCGTGCAAGAAGACGATATCTTGAGTTGCGAGTTCCCGGCTTGATATCGTGCTTTTTCGAGCGAAAGAGGAAACGGACGTTACTACGAAACGGAACATGCAAGCGCAACGACGAGATGGGCCGACCTCGCGGGGAATCGATGTTTGCGGGAGAGAACCGTTGCCAAGATGTTTGGTCACCCCAGGCACAAACGACACACCTCGCTTGTTGCCGCCTTTCGAACCCCGCCATTATTTTCAATAATTCTACAACACAAACACATGACTAGTCTGCATCACGAATGACAAATCAACTCATCGCGTCCATGTGAACGTCGTGCAGGCACCAAGACATTTCTTCGCGCAACAGGCTTTCGTAGAGAGATTCAGCCGATATGTACACAAATACCTGTGAAGCCGCGGGCAGGTGGAGCAAGCTCTGCAGGACGTCCTTCAGGTCCTTGACAGTGCTCCATGACTTTACCGTCAGCACCCTCTTCCGGGCGTGAATCTTGCCATCCAGAGGCTGTGCATAAACGATAACGATGACAGCGGCCGGCGGCGAAATTTTGTAAGCATGAACCAAAGCAAGGTGCACGACCATTGAAGCAGCGGCAACCTTCACGAGGAAATTATAAATAAAGCTTGGTTTTACGGTGTGGGTTGGGGGGCTAGGGCAAGGGTCACGAACCCACCCCTCTCTATTTCAAACTAAAAGCAGTAGCCTTCTCAGGGTTGTTCGTATAATGAAAACATGTTGGTAAAGCATAAAATCGGGGAAGTTGGGATATAGGGCTAGCGTCAGGGAATAGGGTCTGCGTCCCCCCTCCCTCCCTGTTCTACTTCCTCATAAACAAACATTAATCGTGCGAAGGCGGTCCATATCTAGTATAGATAATAATAATAATAACATGCTCGCGAAGGAGGTCTTACAGGAGGAGAGCAGGGACGGCACCATAGCGGCGGCGATAGAAGGCAGAGCGGACGATCGGGAAAAATAAATGCAGCGGAAAAGACATGATAATTAATCTCGATTCCGTCAATGACGGTAGCTGCGGGTACGCCGCAGAGGTAGTCAACGTTTTGTGCCCGCCTGAAACAGTCTTGACGACAATTGCGCTAGAGTTGCCGAGATGATTACTCTTTAGTACAATAGTCTTGGCAGTACTGCTGTGGTATGACAACCGTTTTCACCAATATACATCTCCCCTTTCATACTCCTCCCTCACGAGATGAGTTTGTACTCTTATTTATGGATACTTCTATGCATATATACTAACAAAGGGAATTTCACGTCTATCCACAGGCAAAGGTAAAAGTCCGGAATGAATTAGAAATCAATTCTATGTCAAACCAACCAACGGTTTGTACCTACCTTCTCCCAGCAGCAGGATTGCAGCGAAATCTTGTTTCTGTAAGAACAAAAGAAGCAAGGCCGTGGCAACCAACTAACCCATATACATACGAAGCGTCAAGACAGATAGTCCCACAATTATACTAGAGCCGAGTAAAAGATGGTAAACACGAACGACAACAGTAACGGAAGTCTCAATATGAGCAGTTTAGGGCAGAGAAAGCCCGACAGGAAAGGAGACCCATCTGATTCAAAGGCCACGCTATGCTCGTCGGGAGTAGTATGAATATGCATACAAAAGGCGAGTTTTGGACGTGAAAAAAAAATCCCTTCTGTATCTCAATAGATGCGATGGAAGCCGGGGATTTCCCGCCCCCAAACCACGGAACCCCTACTCAAAACTTATTTTTTCTATAGATAGAGACGGGTTCGTTGTACCAGTGTATAATAAGAAAGAAAATAAAAAACAAGCACGCTGTGACGGCATTAAGAACCAAATGCCCACATGAACTGCCTACTTTACGTACACATCTGCCGGATATTACGCCAAGTAGACGTCAAGACTTAGAAGCGCCCTACTATGGTTGCTGCCTGTCTCGCTTTGTCGCAGAAGAGACGAAGAGACACATACAACAACGTAAGACGTTTAAAGAGGGTGAGGTCGGCAAATAACGGGCTCGTACAATATGCATACGCTGCTATCTCGTGCAGATATATGTTAGGACCAGTACACTACTTCAACAGAACTCGTCAGTACTTGACCTGCAACTGCCTCTTTGGACTCGTGAGTGACTTCGGTTCATTTGTTATTGATGAAAAAGGAACACAAGCCAACTGCGCCATGTCTGCTGCAGAAACAACCGGGGTACAATGACTGATTTAGACAGGCAGCGGTCGCAAAATTGGCATTTATCGTGTACACAGACTTATCTACCACTATTAATACTGCTGTAAGGCGTGTGGTTGTGTAACTAGGTGGCTACAGGGTGTTGCCTGCACACTACGTTTACCGTTCTGACGAGCCAGGGAAACAACGCACCTGAGCGAATCCGACAACTGGAACTGCGCCTCTGGTTGATGTTACTGGCACAAAGTAGAGGAGTGTGTCCTACCTCCTGTACTTTAAGCTACAATTCTCTTCAACCCTCTAACTAGCCTCATCTCGTCTTATGGATACACTCATCGACTTTCGCCTGCGCACAGGTGACAAACGACGGCAACGTTCACCTATGGCTTTATTTCCCGCATGGCGTCATGCATGTCCCCTGCAAAAATCGTGTACCCCCAACCAGACAAGACTAGCGTATCACTCACAACAGCTACATGTATAGATAGCGGCCGGTACTGTTCCCAGCTGGGTGGACAGCGTCAACAGCAGGTATGTACAAAATGGTATCACAAACGTACGCTTCCGAAAAGATACGATAGTCGTCAAAAAATAAAGCGAGGTCTTTCGGTAGCAGTCAATGTACGTAATAGTGTATGCTTCCTGCCTTGATGCCATACCTTGATGCAGATGGAAAACTCTCGCATGGCATGGTCTTCGCCATTGCCGAACCTCCCGAACGACGACATGTCCTCCTACTCGCAGCCGCGCGTCTCCCAGCCCTTAGATCGGAGCAGCCTCTTGCCTTGTGTCGCGGTCGGCGCTGTTCGTGCTATTTATATCCTCCTTGTCTTGATGTTTTGAGGTCTCGTGTTATTTATGTACTCTTTGCCCGCTACTGTAGCGCGAAACGCTGTTACCCGCGTCACACCCACGTCCACCGTGCCCGCCGTGCAAGAAAGAGTCCCGGAGGCGTATACAATTGTGGTTCTCTCTCCCTCTTGAGCACGCGCGTCCTCTATCTCTCTCTCGGATCCGTTGGTTGCTGCTTGTTAGAGGCACCAAGGTTATCCGGCGCTTTCATATGCCGCTCGCTGCCTTGACCTGAAAAAAAAAAACTCTACCTCTATCGCTGCTGCTGCTGCTGCTGCTGCTGCTGCTGCTGCTTCTCGACCTCCGCGTACACCCAGAACGCCACGCCCGCGTACAGCCTCACACAGCTATCTACGCACGCAGAAGTAACAAGGTTGAGACACCAGGCGGCTCGCGTCTAACCTTGGAAGCGGCAGCCTTCGTCTACTACGCCCTGTTGCTGCTGCTGTTGCTGCTGCCGCTGCTGCTGTTGATGCCGCGGACGGGTCTGTAAGGTTGTTAACGGGGACTTGAAAGCAGTGGTTTTCCCGTCTCCACCGCGTCCCCTGAAGCCTTGCCACCATGCAATGACTGCCACCGACAAAGGCGAAGAGAGCGCCCCCCGCGGCGCTCGAACGCGTCGCCTCCCTCTCTCCTTCAAGGTGGACGACACTGGAGACCGCTGCTCTGCCGCCGCCGTGGATGTGTGTGTGTGTTGAGTTCGTTCCGGGATGAGCGGCGAATCCAAAGGCAAAAAGAGGCGCGTCGAGCCACCACCACGAGCGCGAAACTCTCCGGGCTTTCCCGCGGGCGTCAGAGGTTCGGCTGAAGTGGAGGGTTGTCCTCTCTCGCTCCTTTGGCTGCTGTGCGCTATTGAGTGTGTGGGCGGTGGTTCTTGCTGCTGGCAAATGACAGAAAAAGGGGGTTTCGTGAGAAATTTATACATATGCACCAAGAACGAAAAATGGAGATTGGTAGACGGGGGGGGGCGGTAGAGCTTCCAACCGCACGTCTTTGCTCACTGACTCTCCACACTGCCACCGCGTGAAGAGAACAACCATGAAGAGATCGTACGAAGAAGAGAAGTCTTTCATCACGAGGGAGAATGGACAGCGGTTCCGTATCGATCCCGGTTTCGTCCCCAACATGAAAGTGAGTTGCCGTTTTTAAAAATGTGAATCGTCGCGTCCATACGGCTGCATAGTAGACATTCAACTTTAACTTAGCAGTACAACAGTATGGCAACAGGACAGCATTGTGGCGCCCACAATTACACTTCAGCACTCACCATGAGAAACATATTATTGAATGCACTTACTTATATTTATTTGACATGCATACAATGGGCCACGAGCTCTGACCTCGAATAAAGTATGGGCGTCTGCTGTATTTATTTTTTCCATGAAGTGAGGCGTTTGTCCGACGGCGTATTATCCAAGCACTGCGCCAGTGTGAGCCCTCTTTCTGCATCACGTCTTCGCTTGCATCCAACCTTTGATTATACTCATCTCTGGTACACGTTTATTCATGTGGGGCGGTGATGATGTTGATGGCACCTCCCGAGTACCGAGACTCGGCAAGGCCATGGCGAGTACTCTGCTGCCCCGCGAATTCGCGAAATCAAGGTCTTCGGCATGTTGTTTTGTTTTCAGCTGTACTGGATAGTAGAAGGTACTGACCGTAGACCGGAACGGTGTTTGATGTGAAGACAACAACAACAACAACAACAACAGCCGCAACTGGGTCTCGAGCCCACAACCTTGCGCACCATTTCACCAGACGACTCCTGAACAACCGGGCGAAGCGAATCGATGTACTGCTGTACTGCTGTAGACCGATGTATAGGAGCACATAGTGCCATGATGGCTAGCTCCTATTAGAGAGAATGAACGCGACCCATCCCCTTCTTTCCAACCTGCTAACGGCATTATGTACCTAGTTGCTCCGGCGATCGTCCACGGAATGGATGCCACAGCAGTATCAAGCAGTACCCGTTCACTCACTGACGGGGTGGGGGGGGGGTGTACTCATGTTTCCGTAACGGCGTGGTGGTCAGACATTTGAGGCACCGGTATTGGGCTAGAAGGAACTCCACACCGTGTGACCTTTCATTGACGCGGTGTGTTGTGATGGAGTGCCACAGGCTTTGGAAGCGAAGCACGTGTCATACGTAGCGCAGATACCGATGTAGCGATCCGCGAGAAGCAGCAGGGGTCACAGGATAGCCTACCCGGGACCACCGGAGGAGGTAAAGTTGCGTGTCCCCCTCCAATGAAGTGGCACTACTGTTTTACTCACAAAGATGGCACGCATGTGAGAGTTTGAGAGCCCTGCGATCCTGATTTTTTCCATTCCACTCTTGCGCCCTACTGTACTACTGTCGAATCCCCTCGGCGGGATGGCGAGAAAGAAAATAGCAATCATACGGCAACAACCATCTCTCACGTTACATCGGATTGCCTACGCAAAGAAAGTAAGTTTTCTACGAAGAGACTAGGCAGGGGGCACGCAGACCGTAACCCTATCCCCAGCCCCAACTCAGCCGATTTCTATACTTTATCCAATATGTTGTCTTACGTAGAAAAAACCTGCGTAGGCTACTGGTTACACCTCCGCAGGTTGTTTCACCCCCTGTGTACCCATCCCTCCGTTTGCTGCGCGCGCGATCGACGAACGTGGCAGGTGCCCGGGTACTTCTACGCGAACGATCGGCTGGAGAAGCTGACGTTCGAGGAGCTGAGGCAGCAGTCTGGCGGGAAGGGAGGCGGGGGGTTTCTGCCCGCGGTGAAGCAGATCGCTAACGTGGCTGCGCTCCCTGGGGTTGTCAAGGTCGGGTTGTCGGTCTGTCCATGAGGAAAGGGGTGCTAGAGGAATACATCTACCGTGCGTTGCAAAGATGCCACACACACCCTTAATCGACGTTCAAAGCTCGATTGATTACTATGCAGCAAAGAATATGGCAGCAGTAACGAGATTGGTGGAGCTGGAACTCCGTCTCGGCGAGAGCTTTCGGAAAACGCACAACTCTGATTCTGGCATCCGCTTTGTCGTGGAGTAATCGGGCTTTGAACAGTGGTCCACAGGGCGTGGTATCTTGTGCGGCCTGCGGTAGATCGTCGATGCGGGGGTGCACTTGCGGACTAGAGTAAGAGTGCGAGTCAACATAACACACCCCTAGACCGGATCTCACACGTAGCTCGATTTCTCCGCGACGAACAGGTTGCCAATGTCGGGAAGAGTAGCTTTGGAAGCTCCTCCCGAAGAGCGTTCCTTGCACATGCATCGATCGGTTTTCGCACCCTCTTGGTAATGGGGGAATCGAGCTTTGAATCTCGGCCTAAAGGGGGTGAGAGGATTCGCTCGTCTTGACGGTATGTATTCTCGGAGGACGGGGACCCCCCGGGAAGTTGCGGCAAACCGTATCAAGTGCGGGAATAAACCGTACTGAACACGGGAATCGTCGTACATTTCCGGAAATGGCGCGAACGGCTCAGGTCTATACCGCCGTGTGACGGCATGATAGGAGACATTGGCTCCTTGGACGTCAAGCTGCCAGCCACAGCGGACGTTAATTTTCTGTTGTGTTTCTGATGCAAGGGACATAGATTTGTGGGTACACCGCAGCACAGCAAGGCCTTTTCTAGTGCTCAACATCGGGTGGTAGTTTGTTCTTCCTGGTTGGTGTACGGTAGATATTCCTTCCTTGTAGCGAGCACCCTGATGGCGTTTGTCGTTTGCGGGCGATTAGACGGGGGACCCGCGGCTTGTAGTACACCCCACCTATCGGTGTGCAATAGACGAATGCGAGGACCCCCGTGTGATGAACGAGCACGCTGCCCGCTCCCCTCCTGGCGAATCACACAGGGATCCATCGGCTTGCCTGACGTGCACTCGGGGTATGGCTTCGCCGTCGGAAACGTGGCCGCCTTCGACATGGCCGATCCGGACGCTGTGGTGTCGCCAGGTGAAGCATGCGTACGCCTCGATGTGCATGTGTGTGATTAAGTGTTTCTTTAGTCTGGGTGTTCCGCGTCCTTTGCTGCAACACAGGCGTTTTGTGAAGACGGCAGACGATGACAACAACAACAACGACAACAGCTAGAGATGCCTACCGCCCTACCCCTGAGGTCTCCATCACCACGCCGCTGTACCTTCCTCGCCATTTTATCGCAAGGGCCAGGAAAGGCCAAGCACATTAACGCCCATGGTACGAGATTCGAGCTCTCCCGCCCCGTCTGTCCGTAGAATAGGCTGTTGACACCTACTTGTCCATCCGCATGTACACCCGAAGCAGGCGGGGTGGGCTTCGACATCAACTGCGGTGTCCGTCTGGTGCGAACAAACCTGACGCTGGATGACGTCCTCCCCGTGAAGGAGGAGCTCACGCAGTCGCTGTTCGACCACATCCCGGTCGGCGTGGGTACCAAGGGCATGGTCCCCATAACGGCGGCGGACCTGAACGATGTTCTGGTGAGCATTGGGGTGGTTGTTGGTTGGTGGTTTTAGCGGCGATGTTCTGGTGAGGAAGTGTGACTGTTGCGGTTTTTTGGTGGTGGTTTGAAAGCAGACGTGAACGATGTTGTGGGGAGGAATGTGACTGTTGCGGTACTTGGTGTTGGTGATATTAGCAGACCTGAACGGTGTTCCAGTGAGGATGTGTGGCTGTCGTGGTGCTTGGTGGTGTTGGTGATAGCAGCGGACCTGAACAATGTTCTGGTGAACAATGTGGTGGTGTTGTCGTCGTTTTTATTGTTGTTGTTGTTGGCGGTGGTGGGGGTGGAGATGGCGTCAGCTCTGGGGGTGATGGTGGTGAGAACAGCGACGGTACAAGATGAGGTAATTGATCGGTAAGTCATCTGTTGTTGAACGCTTACTAGTTTTAGTTTGCTTTTTTTGTCTTCATGCTGTGCCGAGACAGCAAAAAACTGGAACCCACAGTAGTACGATTTTCTTCGTGTGTTTTTACACGCGAACGCTCTTTGTGTGTCTGCCCCCGCCCCCGTCCCGAAAAAACGGTTTTGGACCGCACCGACGCAGGAGATGGGCATCGACTGGTCCATCAGAGAAGGCTACGCTTGGGTAGAGGACAAGGAGCACTGCGAGGAGTACGGGAGGATGCTGCAGGCGGATCCCACCAAGGCAAGGTTGGTTCGACTCCATTGCAAACCGCATGCTTGCAGTGTTAGCGGCGGTGGCGCACACGCCAGGAGGGCGCTCCCTCAGCAAGCACGTCAGTGCGCTGGGAACCTTAGTCTTGCTCGGAGATTAGGTACCGTGGGTGACATGACGTAAGATATCACACCCCCTGGGTCGATTAAAGCTCGAATACTTCACGAAAAAAGAGGATTCCAAACTCACAGGATACGTTTGAGGCAAGCTCTCGACGAGACCGTTCCAACGCCGCAATTTCGGTACCCGTAGCTGTTTTGGCTGTAAAGTAGAAGTAGTCAAGCTTTGAAAGTAGGCCCAGGGGGATGCAACCTCCGGTTATGTATCGGGTTTTGGCCACGTGTCGCACGCACGCCGCTAACTGGCGTGCAGGATGGTATGTAGGTTCCCACGTGCAGGATGGACAGGTGCAATGCTTGTGACTGTTTTTTTTTTTTTGGTCGGGCAAGGCGTAGCCCGCGTCGGTGATGGCCACGGCAGCATGTTCACGATACTGTCATCTCTCTGCTTAGGACGGCCCGCGACATGTGCCTGGCTCGGCAACAGCTTCTGCGCGACGCACCAGACCGTCCTTGACCTTCGCGCACGACATTTCCTGCACAGTTAAGGATGACGTCACCCGCCTTCCTCTTCTACCCCTAAAATAGTACACGAGCATGCCTACAACTGACTTCACCCACGTTCCTTTTCTACCTCTACTACGCAAACTTCCTGTACATTTTCGGTTAACCTCTCACCCAACGTTCCTTTTCCACCCCTAGGACACGACCATTCCCGCACATTCTAAGGTTGATTGACTCGACCCACATTCCTTTTTCCACCCCTAAGACGGAAACATGCCCGTACATTTTAAGGTTGACTTCACGCACATTCCTTTCTCCACCCCTGTTTCTTATCTCTATGCCGCGACGGCCGTGCGAACTTCCTTGCAGGTAAGCAGGCGTGCCAAGATCCGTGGCCTGCCGCAACTGGGCACCTTGGGCGCGGGCAACCACTACGCCGAGATCCAGGTAGTGGAGGAGGTTTACGACGAGCAGGCCGCCAAGAAAATGGGCATCGACAAGGTTAACCAGGTGCGCGACGGGTGTGATGTGTGGACTGACCGACTGCCTGGACTGCTGAGGGTCCACTGCTGCTACTACCCCGCAGCCCTGCTGTCTATCATGTGTCGGCGAGCGGTTGTTGTCGGACCATTGCTACTGCTGTGTCTCCTGTGGCACCGTTGTGTTTGCCGTAGAATTGAGATGCAAACCGCGCGCGGTTGTGGTTTGTTAGTTGCTGTTGCCGGCTTGCGGAGAGGATAGCCTCCCCTGCTCTGTGCTATACCAGTAGAGTTTTCAAGCGTGACCCGCATTGCACCCCTTTTATTTTTCTCCGGCCATAGCTCGCTGGCGTCGTTATATTGTTCGGGGATTGTCGCTCGTGCCCTTATGTACTGCTGCTGCTGCTACTGCTACTGCTGCTGCTGCTGCTGCTGCTGCTGCTGTTGTCGATGCCTCGCGAGGCGTGCAGGTTTGCATCATGATCCACAGCGGAAGCCGCGGGCTGGGGCACCAGGTCGCCACCGACGCCCTCGTGCTGATGGAGGCGGCCATGGCAAGAGACAATATCGACATCAACGATCGCCAGCTCGCGTGCGCCAAGATCAACAGCCAGGTGACGATTGCACATGAGAGGCCCCGACGGTACAAGACTCTGTAGACAGATTTGCCATTTAATATTTATTTTATTTTTTTCGTTGGGGTTCGCCGTGCTCTTCGAGTCAAAAACACGTCAGCTGTGTGAGCTGTTCGAGCTTGGGAAGCGTCACTGATGGCA